AATATCCAAGCGTTCGTCGACACGTCACGTAAGATAACGGACATGACAATGATGAACACGCAGGGTGATATTATAGTTCCCAGCCATCCTGTGTTGGGTCTTCGTTTTGAAGAGAAAGCGCCCCGCGTTCTCCTCCTCCTCTCCTCCTCCTCCCCCTCCTCCCTCCTCCCATGCGTGCCTCTGTCCTCCGCATGTCCATTTCGGCCCTCCGCCCTCCGCATGCCCATATCGGCACATCCCTCACACGGTTCGTGGCCCTATAGGGAGCTCCACCCAAGGCCCCAGTGGCCGCATTCACATGCGTCCACCCCGCCCACCGCATGACCATTTCGGCACCTCCCTCACACGGTTCGTGGCCCCATCGGGATTCCACCGAAGGCCCCAGTGGCCGCGTTCACATGCGTCCGCCCCGCCCAGCGCATGCCCATTTCGGCACACCCTCACACGGTCCGTGGACGCTCACGGAACCTCTCCGGCAACACCTGCGGCGAACACAACGACGCATGCTCCGCATGATCATCAGGACACCAAGGCGACGCGCTACCCGCCAAACGACCCCGACGAGCAGCACCCAAGGACACGCGGACGACCGCACGACCACTCAAGCACCTGACCAAGAAACCAGCAGCAGCGACGACGCAGAGAGCAACGCGCCCCAACAAGACACGACCGACCGACACAGCGAGAGCAACGACAACAACCATGACGAGGACGCGATGGAGCCGTGGGTCGACTACATCCAGCGAGCCACGCGGCGCGCAGAACAGCTCATGCAGCACCACCACATCGAAAACTGGGAGACGATTCACAGACAGAGGTCGTGGCGCATGGCATCCAAGGTAGCCAAACACGAGCCCACCAGATGGACGTGGCGTGCACTGCACTGGCAACCAGGAGAGAACTCACGGCAACGTGGCCGGAGACACCACGGCGGCCGGCGCAAGCGCTGGGACGACGACCTCATCAGCTTCCTTCAAGAACACCGACCCGACCTGCACCCAGCGCCCGCACCAACCAACGAGCAGGGCAAGCCGAACGACCTCACTTGGGTTCGCTCAGCTCAAGACACCACCACGTGGTCGACACTCGAACACAAATACATCAGCACGTCGCCGACATTCACAACCAGGACTTCCTCCTCCTCTCCTCCTCCGTTATAACTTTTTGTGTGTTGCACAGAATCATTTATTGTGTGTCCCGCAGTTCCTGTGTATGTCTCTATGTTTACAGGAGGCCATGGCCTCACCCACCTGGTCTGAGCAGGCCCGGACAGCTGTCCGATGTGGTGGTTCGTTCGTTCGTTCGTAGGGAGCTTCAGCGAAGGCCCCAGTGGCCGCGTTCACATGCGTCCACCCCGCCCACCGCATGCCCATATCGGCACACCCCTCACACAGTTCGTGGCCCCAAAGGGAGCTCCACCCAAGGCCCCAGTGGCCGCGTTCACATGCGTCCACCCCGCCCACCGCATGCCTATTTCGGCACACCCCTCACACAGTTTGTGGCCCCATAGGGAGCTCCAGCGAACGCCCCAGTGGCCGCGTTCACATGCGTTCACCCCGCCCACCGCATGACCATTTCGGCACACCCCTCACACGGTTCGTGGCCCCATGGGGAGCTCCAGCGAAGGCCTCAGCGGCCGCGTTCACGTGCGCCCACCCCGCCCACCGCATACCCATTTCGGCACACCCCTCACACGGTTCGTGGCGCCATAGGGAGCTCCACCCAAGGCCGCAGTGGCCGCGTTCACGTGCGCCCACCCCGCCAATCGCATGCCCATTTAGGCAAGCCCTTCACACGGTTCGTGGCCCCGTAGGGAGCTCCACCCAAGGCCCCAGTGGCCGCGTTCACATGCGTCCGCCCCGCCCACCGCATGCCCATTTCGGCAAACCCCATACACGGTTCGTGGCGCCACAGGGAGCTCCAGCGAAGACCCCAGTGGCCGCGTTCGCATGCGTCCACCCCGCCCACCGCATGCCCATTTCGGCACACCCTCACACGGTTCGTGGCCCCATATGGAGCATCTCGCCCAAGGCTTCAGTGGCAGGGTTCGCATGCGTCCAACCCGTCCACCGCATGCCCATTTCGGCACACCCCTCGCACGGTTCGTGTGCAATGTGGCACTGCGGGGTCCAAAGTTTGATCGATGGCGGTGCCGCCGGTTGGCGGCGCACTGACTTCATCCGCACAAGGCGTCTTACCACCGTCACCCGCCGCCACTGCGACCTTCTCGGGCCGCACCACTCTGGCGGTGCTGCGCAGCCGGTCCTTCCCGCGCCTTTTTTTTTTTTTTTTTTGTTTTTCTCCTCTTTCTCCTTCTCCTTTTCCCTCTCCTCCTTCTCGTCCTCTTTGTTCAATATGAATACTATCAAAGTTCCCATGGCACTCGGGTGTCGGCAAAAACATGCCTGTGGTGCATGAAGAGAAAGTGGCCCCTCACCCGGATCGTGGCCTCATAGGGGGCCAGTCGAAATGTGGACCCAGAACGCGGTATCCCCATCTGCTGATGGTTGGGTCCTGCGTCAGGATATTTTTCGTATAAGGTGGTTTGTGGCTGAGAGTCCCAATGGGTTGCGATATCGAGCGCTAGGGTTTGTCACGTACGTAGTGATTCCCTGGAGCTGCCGAATCGAGCAACACTGCCGTCGACGACCAATGAGCCGTAGAGTTATGGAGGAGGATGAGGAGGGCGACAGCCGAGGGGAGGAGGGAGGAGGGAGGAGGGAACCCTAGACAGCCTGAGTCAGGTGTGGCTTGTTTCGTAGTTGCCATGGCGCAGTGAGGAATCTTGTCGGCTTGCGGTGCTGCCATGCTTCTGCTGTCTGGCAGTGTTCTTCTTCTCCTTTTCCCCGTTGTCTTCCTGGTTCTCCCGTCGTCCTCGTGCTCATCCTCGTGGTCCTGTTTCTCTTCCTCGTCTGGTTCTCTGGTGTGCTCATGGCTGGAATGGCCTCGTAGCTGGCATGTTGCCGTTGACTGGCAGGGCTTAGGGAACCAGCTGTGCAGCACTAGTGCGTTAATTTTATCTTTAGGCACCAACACGGAGGAGGAGGAGGAGGAATCAGAGTAAGAGGAGCAGGAGGAGGAGGAGGAGGAGGAGGAGGAGTCAGAGGAGTCAGAGGAGGAGGAGGAGGAGGAGGAGGAGGAGGAGGAGGAGGAGGAGGAAGGTGGGAGGAGGGTCAAAATGAGCGGGAGGAAGTGATGAGGAGGAAAGATGAGGATGAGGAGGAGCAGAAGGGGATATTGTCCAATCTCGTCATGGATAGCAGCTTTTCCGGGGAAGAAATGCCGCGGGGCAATCAGGAACTACGACCGTCGCGTCTTGGGTCTTACCGCACGCAGCCAAATACCTCTAAGGCAAGGATCAGGTCTCTTCGAGCGTGCCCTTATAGCACTCGTGAACCTGATCCCTCCTGCTTCCAACTCATTCTTACTCTCTGGGCTTAGCAAGCACCGGTAGGGACCATTTTATTCAGAGTTTAGGTTCGTATACATATATATATATATATGTATATATATATGTATGTGTGTGTATATACATGTGTGTATACATATATATATATATATATATATATATATATCGTCAGGGCTTCGCCCCATGCCGCCAGCCCCCTGTCTCGGATAATGGGAGATGCAAAAGCTAAATCATGAGGTCTGGGCGCCGCCGTGAAGCAGTGTTGGGACCTGTTTGTTTTTCGACCCTGACCCTACGGATCTGAGTGAGGGGTGCCGCCGAATTTCAGAAATGTGGCACATCCCCTGTGGTTTTGGACCCCGACCCTGCCGATCTGCGTAAGGGGTGCCGCTGAATTTCAGGAATGTGGCAAATCCCTTGTGTTTTTGGACCCTGACCCTGCCGATCTGCGTGAGGGGTGCCGCCGAATTTTAGAAATGTGGCAAATCCCAAGTGTTCTTGGACCCTGACCCTGCCGATCTGCGTGAGGGGTGCCACCGAATGTCAGACATGTGGCAAATTTCGAATGTTTTGGGACCCTGACCCCGCCGATCTGCGTGAGGGGTGCCACCGAGTTTGAGAAATGTAGCAAGTCCTATATGTTTTTGGACCCTGACCCCGCCGATCTGCGTGAGGGGTGCCATCGAATGTCGGACATGTTGCAAATCCTTTGTATTTTTGGACCCTGACCCCGCGGATCTGCGTGAGGGGTGACAGCAAATTTCAGAAATGTGGCAAATCCCATGTGTTTTTGGACCCTGACCCCGCCGATCTGCGTGAGGGGTGTCAATTTTTACCCACCCCAGCAATTCAGAGCACACGCTGAGGGCGAGGTAGAAGTGCCTGTTTTGGCCTCCCCCCCTCGCGCGGTCCATCAACAAGGAACAGTAAGCAGCAAGAAGCAGAATTGTATCAACAAGGAACAGTAAGCAGCAAGACGCAGAACTGTAACAGTGGAAACTGGAAGCTGCAACTGGTACTGGAAGCTGCGAACTTTCGCCCTACAGCCGGGTGGCCGCACACGGAGGCCGGCGGATATGTTATATATATAGAGTATTTTTTTATGTATAAGTGTGTGAGTGCAAATACAGTACAATGTTGTTCATTTGCGTGAACAGATATATAGATATATGTATACACGTATGTGTCTGCTTGTACACATGTGCGCGCGTGTGTACATGCATATGTAGAGGCATTGTGTTTCACGTAGCTTATGTGCAAACATGTTGTCATGCTTACTTTTACGATGTGCATGTAAATCAAGCCGTACCGTCCATGAGTGCTTCGATGTGTGAAAACCGTACCGTCCATGAACGTTTCGACGTACGACCAGTTCTGGTGGCAATTTTTGTCGTCGTTTCCTTATGGTTCCAACACAGCCAGGATCGAGTTGGCTCCAGACAGCCCGCCCACCCACATATCACTTGTAACTCACTGGCCGCGTGTGTGGCGAAGCCAGGTCAAATATACAGCGATTGCTCTGGCAATTTCCCTTGAACCGTGGCATGTCTTCACCTTTCATCCTTAGTGTCTTCTGCTGCGCCACCCCGAGGTGCCAGCAGTTTGCACGGAGAGGCAGATTCAGAGCGTAATCCTGGATGACTCCGCTGTGGCGCACCCCACCAACGAAGCCATGGTCGTCTGCCCAGTTTGCGCGAGGGGCTCTCCTCTCCTCTCGCCCATGCTCGCCCTCACCCGTCCCTGTCGCCCGACTCTTGTCTCCTGTCCCTCTACGTCCCCCTGTCCCCTTTCCCTCTCCGCTCTACCTTCTTCTCCCTTTCCCTTTTCTTTACACTTGCACAACATGAGTATTACCTATACGACCACCCTTCGGGTGATCAAGAGATTGTTGGGGGGGAGAGGGGGGGAACCAGCATCTGACTCAATCGATCTCACTATCGATCTCTCTCAACGGGACACCACGGGACACCACGGGAGACCACGGGACACCACCAGACACCACGGGACATTTGTCGATCTCACTTGTCGATCTCACTATCGACCTCACCATCGATCTCACTATCGATTTCACTCAACGGGACACCACGGGACACCACGGGACACCACGGGACACCACGGGACACCTGTCGATCTCACTATCGATCTCACGATCGATCTCACCATCGATCTCACTTTTTGGGACACCACGGGACACCTCGGAGCACCACATCGATCTCAGTATCGATCTCACTATCGATCTCATTATCGATCTCACTTTTTGGGACACCACGGGACACCACGGGACACCACGGGACACCACGGGACACCTGTCGATCTCACTATCGATCTCACTATCGATCTCACTATCGATCTCACTTTTTGGGACACCACGGGACACCACGGGACACCTCGGGGCACCACATCGATCTCACTATCGATCTCATTATCGATCTCATTATCGATCTCACTCAACGGGACACCACGGGACACCGCGGGACACCTGTCGTTCTCACTATCGATCTCACAATCGATCTCACTTTTTGGGACGCCACGGGACACCACGGGACACCACGGGACACTATGTGACACCGCGGGACACCGCGAGTCCCCTCCAGACGGGCGGGCGGGGGAGAATTCTCTGTCTTGACTCCGCCCTAGCAATGGCGGACACCACGGGACACCACGGGACACCTCGGGACACCGCGGGACACCGCGAGCCTCCGCCAGAAGGGCGGGCGGGCGGGGGAGAATTCTTTGTCTTGACTTCGCCCTAGGAGCGGCGGGTTCATTCCTCTCGCGCGCCCACGCAGCTTCGCCTCGCCCGCACGCTCGACACGAACGAAACGAAACGATTTCCCGGTTGGGGGTCTCCGTTCCACTGGGATCTCACCCCCCAACCTCCGGTTCTCTTCTCTTTCCTGATGACATCCGGCCCCCCTCTGGGAAATGGGTTTTCGTAGTTTTTTTTCACAATGTTGCTCCCGCTGAAGCGGTGGCCTCATTTCTGCGCCTCTGGTTGTTCCAAATCCTGTTCCCGCTGCAGCGCGGGCGTTTTCTGTCCTTCCAAATGGGCCCCCAAATCTAGAAGATGGTCGTCCGGAAAAACCATCGGAAGTGATTACACATTCGGTGCCGATTCGTAGCCCCCCCCACTTTGGGGCGTCGTCGTTTTCAGGACGTATCGAGCGGGAGCACCGTTTCTGCCATGAGAAGGCGATGTTGCAGGCAGAGCCAGCGGGTGCTCTCCAGCAGCCCCGCCTCGTGGGGAGCTTTTCGGGGAGCCCAGGGAGCTCAACGTGGAGCCGCGACTCCACACCGGCCCAGGGGCCCAGGCCCTTCGACGACGAGTCTTTTACCCTCCAAGGAACCCGGCGCCATGCCATGGCATGTTGTGCGGTGTTGTGTTCTGCGCCGCTGTGCGATGCCATGCTATGCGTTGCAATGCTTTGTGATGCAATGTTTCACTGCGCCATGCCACGCCATGCCATGGCATGCAACGCTCTGCCGTGCTCTTCTACGCCATGCCATGCCGTGCTCTACCATGCATCGCGCACCCTCTCGCGATCATTGCCCTGCTCGACATCCGAATGTGCGAATGGATATGAGATCTACGCGAGGGAGGGGTAGGCCGTCAGGAATGACGCGAGCGCACCTGGCTTGTCCTCTCCCCCCTCTCCCTTTGCTCTGTTTCTCCTCCCTGCCGCCTTGGCGTCAGAGGCTCCGGGGAACCGCCGGCACCTCCGCAGGGGACTTCCGGGCCAGCCAGACAGGGTCGCTCCGGTGGCCGCTCGCCGGCGTGCCGACGCTGGGGCAGCGGGGTCGCCGCCTGCGGCGAGGGACCCTCCTGATTTCGAGGGCGCCTTGGAGTGGGCACGGGCGGCCGGGGGGGCATGGGGAGGAGAGCGGGAGACAGGGGCCGCCGGGGCACGCGCAGAGGGGTAGGCGGAAGAGGTGGACGCAGGGTGTCGGGTGTGCCCTGGCCGGGAAGGGGGTGGTGCTGTTCCCCAATCAGAGCTTGCCTCTGCAGGGGTCCTAGCGGACCCAGATGGCTAGGTCAGCTGTGGCGCCGATTTCGGCGGCACGCCTGGGTGCCTGGGTGCCCAGGTGCCCAGGTGCCCGGGTGCCAGGGTGCCCGGGTGCCCGGATGCCCAGGTGCCCGGGTGCCTCTTAGGGCCCTATAGCCCTATAGCCCTATAGCCCTATAGCCTTATAGCCCTATAGCCCTATAGCCTTATAGCCCTATAGCCCTATAGCCTTAATTATAGCCCTAGAGCTCTGTAGCCCTATAGCCCTATAGCCCCATAGCCCTATAGCCCTTTGATTGGGTTTTCCTCCGGTATCATTTTTCCCAAATCAGCGATATCGGCATGCCATGGCGGCCAGGCTGCCTCGGCCAGTAGGGTCCCGTCGCAGCCGCGCGCGGCCGCGGCCGCTCCCGACCACCCTGATGCGCAGAAGACGAACCACATGAATGATAGTTGTGCGAATGATGAAGGCGAGTTCCCCCAACAGTGCTTGCACAGAGGGGTCGTGCTTTTCTTTAAAGCAATCGGCTGGTCTGTCTGGGTTGTCGTGTGAGCAACGGAAGCAACGGGGTCGACTGCGTGGACATTCGCTCGTACTCCTCCCGCGTAAGGTCGCGCGCAGGCGCCCTCTTCTCCACTCGCTGTGCCACGCTAGCGGCCCGGGTAAGCCGCGGCTTGAGGTCGCCATGCCTCCCGGCCATGCGCAGGGGGGGGGGGGATCGGGGGAGGGGGGAAGGCGTCCTAGCAGCACCGAGGCTTCCAAGAAGCTTCCCCCCCTGCCAGGCCCTCCGTGTGCGCGCCGCCAAGTCTTCGCGCGCAAGGCCCGTTTCCTTTCGTCGCTCGCGTGCGTTCCCCACCTCGGAGCGGCGGCGGCGCGGCGTGGGCGGCGGCGGCGGCGGCGCGGCGGCCTCGGTCCGTTCGCCACTGGCGCGTCGCTCGGGCCCGAGCCAGGGTGCTGCGGCGGCTGCGCGCCGCCGCCGTCGGCTTCGACGTCGTCATCGTCGTCGTCGTCGTCCTCCTTCTTTCCCTGCTCCTCCCCTTCCTCCTCCTCTCCCTCCTGCTTCCACTTCTTCCTCCTCGCCTCCTCCGTGGTCGTCCTTCTGTTTCTCCTCACGTTCATGCCTCACGCCTCATTTTCCTGCCGCTCATGCTCCTCCGCCTCCTCCCATTCCTTCCCCCTCCCGTCCCCCTTTCCCGTTCCCTTTCCCCATCCACATTTGTCTTTCTCCTGCTCCTCCTGCTCCTCCTCCTCCTCCTCCTCCTCCTCCTGCTCCTCCTCCTCCTTCTCCTCCTTCTCCTCCTCCTCCTCCTCCTCCTCCTCCTCCTCCTCCTCCTCCTCCTCCTCCTCCCCCCCGTCCTCTCCTCATTTCTTGTGTTTTTTTCATCCTCTTCCCGCTTCGTCCTCCTTCTGAACCTCTTTTCGTTCTCGTGTACCCTCCTCCCACTCTTTACTCTTCCTGTGCCTTCTCCTCTTCCCTCGTGCTCCCTCGTGACTGTGTCTTGCACCTTGCACGGCGGTGTCTGTTGTGCGCGTCGTCTGTCCACCCAGATGGCACCCGACCCGGCTGCGCGGTGCCAGGCCCTTTCTTGCGCCGCCTCCGCGCGTGCGCAATCGAAGACGGGCCAAGCATCGAGGCCCCATCCAGCACCCGACTCGGCGAATAGAAACGGATCATGTGCAATGGGAAGGGGGGATGGAAGGGGCAAGGCGTCAGATGTGCCGTGCGCGCATCTAGCTTGCCCCTGCCTACCCTGCCACTGCGCGGTCTGAGTACTGCTCTCCTCTCTTCCCCAATGCTCCCCAATGCGGGGGCCGCCTCCCCCGCGCATTGATTTTCCACACACAGTGCCAGCTTGTTTTTGTTACAGGGATAGTGCTGTAGATCGGGCCGATCTTTTCCATGTACTTTTCCACTTGGGCCGTCTTCGGTCGTTCGTCCTCGGCCTTCCCGACGGCTGCTCTCGCTTTGGCGCCTGCCACATGTTGCCCCACCCCCTATCATTCATCAACATGAGTTCGGCACTACCCAAATCTACTTCTACTATGCGTGTGTCGGCCACGCAGGGGCGGCGCGAACGCTTGGAAATCTTATGGTATAAGCCCTGTGGCGGGCGCTTCCTGGCCATCTCGTTCGGGAAACGATGTGCTACAAGCTCTTTTGCTGTCTGTTCGGGTCGGACGTGCGCCTCCGACAGAGGCACACGGTAATCGTATGTCCCTCTATGTCCCCTGGGTGCTGCCGTTTGGTGTGGGGGCCGCCTCCCCCGCGTGTGCGGCTGTGCCGCCGCCTCCGTCGGGTTTCTGCCGACCCGCGCGCCGCGCGGGAGGACCGAAGCCTCCGAGGCGCGGGGCTCCCGCGGCGCTCGTCGTCGTCGTCGTCGTCGTCGTCGTCGTCGTCGTCGTCGTCGTCGTCGTCGTCGTCGTCGACTTGACGTTGTCGTCGTCGTCCTGGTCGGCTTCCTGCCTCGTCTCCTCTTCCTTCTCTCCCCCTGGTCCTCCACATTCCCCTCCTCCATCCTTCCGCCTGGCCCCTGGTCCCCTCGCGCTGCACAAACCATTCAAGGTTCAGGGTCTCACTCGAACGGGGCTGGCGAAGAGGGGCAGGTTCATCACAATGGCAAGGGATGGGCGAGAGGCGTAGAATGTCAGATGTGGCGTGGGCGCGCCTATCTCGTCTCTGTCCTCTCTCCTTTCTCCTGCTCCCCCTACTTCTCTTCGTCCTTCCCCTCTCCCTGGAAGTCCCAATACCCGCCTATATCCCCCAGGACACAATGGACCACCCCAGATCTTACTCCTCACATCGTCGTCGTCGGCATCATCAGCATCATCACCACCACCATTATCACTATCACCATCACCACCACCATCATCACCATCACCATCATCACCATCACCACCACCATCACCATCACCATCACCATTCAACATCACCATCACCACAGTCATCATCATCAACATCATCATCAATATCATCACCACCATCGTCATCATCATCATCATCATCATCATCGCCATCATCACCATCACCATCACCATCAACATCATTATCATCATCATTATCATCACCATCACCATCATCATCATCATCATCATCATCATCATCATCAGGATCATCACCATCATCATCCTCATTCTCGTCATCGTCATCGTCATCACCATCGCCATTATCATGATCGTCGTCGTCGGCATCGTCATCATCACCATCATCACCATCACCACCACCATCATCATCACCATTGCCATCACGATCACCATAACCAGCACCATCATCACCAGCCTCCTCACCATCATCATCACCATCACCATCACCATCGCCATCACCGTCATCATCATCAGCATCATCATCAAAGCATCATCATTACATCATCATCGTCACCACCACCATCATCGTCATCAGCATTGTCACCATCAATCTCATTATTACCACCACTACCATCATCATCACCATCACCATCACTATCATCATCAAATCACCATCATCATCACCATCATCATCATCGTCTTCGTGACCATCCTCATCATCAGCAGCACTATCATCATCGTGATCATGATGATGATGATCATCATCATCATCGTCAGCATCATCATCATAGGCATCATCACCATCACCATCACCGTCACCATCACCACCACCATCACCATCACTATCACCATCACCACAGTCATCATCATCATCATCGTCATCATCAACATCATCATCCTCATCATGATCAGCATCAGCATCCTCATCTTCATCATCGCCATCATTACCATCACCACCACCAACATCATTAGCATCATCATCATCATTACCATCATCATCATCACCATCATCATCATCATTATCATTATCATCATCATCATCATCGTCATCGTCATCGTCATCGTCATCGTCATCATCAGCATTATCAGCATCAGCATCATCACCAACAACATCATCATCATCACCATCATCATCACCATCATCATCATCACCATCATCATCATCATCATCATCATCATCATCATCACCATCATCGTCATCATCGTCATCATCATCGTCATCATCATCATGATAATGTGAGAGGCCTTACGGCTGGTGCTGCCGATCCTAAGCGACCACGACGACGACGATGCTGACGTGAGTCAGAGTCCTCAGGGATGCTTCTTGGACTCTCTTTGGAGCGCTCTCGGGGGCCTCTGGGGGGTAGTTCTGGGGCCTCTTAGGAGCCTCTTGGAGCCTCCTTGGTAGCTCCTTGCGTGGGAGCCTCTTGGGACAGTCTTGGTTCGTTGTTTTTTTGGGGGGGGGGGGCTTCGGGACCCCCCGGGGGGGAGGTGGCATTCTGACCCAGGACTTGCCCCGGGTCCCTCTCGGGACCTGCCTGGGACGCTCCCTGGGACGCGATGAGTTCAATCCCCGGCAGAAGGGTTCCATACCCAGCAGACGGGTTTATTCCTGGAAGCAGGTTCAGTCCCCGGCAGAAGGGTTCAATTCCTGGCACCCACCCTAATTACATGTCAAAAGCAAAGGAGACTCGTGAGTTCAGAATGCCCATGCTAGTCTTTCAGGTAACCACATGAAATCTGTGAACATTTCTTGCCAGAGATTGAACCCTCCAGGGGTTCTATATATTGTCACCCTCATCGTAGTGGCCCTATTGGAATTGGAATTGAATGCATTTCCTTCCAAGTGGAATCAAATAGGGTTTCTAATCGGATTCAAGGCGACCCTATTGGAATGCCATCGCATTCCTCTCTAACGGAATCACGATTCCTCTCTATCGGGTTCCGATTGGGATCCTGTTGGCATCCAGTTGGATCCCTTCCTGTTGGATACCGATTCGCATCCGATTGTAAGCCAATTGGAATCAAAAGCTTCCTTGCCATGGGAGTCCTACTTAGCTTTTTATTGGTCCCTCTTGGAATCCAATAAGATTAATTCCTCATGGGTTTATATTGCGTAGGTTCCTTCAGGAATCATATTGCAACCCAGTGGTACAGCCACCCGTTGGATGCCGCTGGGCTCCTGATGGGATCCTGTGGGGTACACTTGGATTTCAAGCGACTGGGTTCCTATTGGGATCCACTTGGGTTTTTATCTGGACTCGAGTAAAATGATACGATGTATTCCTGTTGGGTTCCCGTTTAAGTTGTCTTTGTGTGACCATTGGCAGCCGCGTGTTTGTTCTGTGCTGTGCTGGTGCCACGAGTACTGCCGAGAGGGATCCAAGAGGTCCCCTAGTGTTGTTTGCTTGCTTTGAGATGGACTCCAGAAGCTGCTGCCTGTGATAATGATATCGCACGACTGTGACGGATCCTCGTAGACCATCGTGAGTTTACACTGTCTCTCAACACAGTTCTGCGATCCAGCTCACGCTTCTGTATTTGGCGTAACATTGAAGTAATGTGGCCTCGTACCAGGTTGTCAACACACTGAGGACCAAACTTTCAGGCTCAACACACTGGAAGCGACTCCTGGTAAGGTGGTACACCCAACTATTGGACGAAGGTGTCGCCATTGATTCATCGCACACAATGTGTGATACACACCATCCGTCGACGGGCGCTCGTCCGCTGAAGGAGCGAGATCTGTTTTTTTATGTTATTTGTTGTTCTTTCTTTTTCCGTTTTGCAACGCTGCAAGAGGCAACCTTGTCCCAGTCCCGTAGATTAGCGTACATGTTTATCATGCTCGCGAGGCCCAAGAGGCCTGTCGAAATGTCCAAGAGGCTGTCGGGAGGCCCAAGAGGCCTGTCGGAGGTTCCAAGAAACCTTTAGGAAGGCTCAAGAGGCCTGTCGGCAGGGCCCAGGGGGCCAGTCGGGAGGCCCAAGAGGCCTGTCCGGAAGCCCAAGAGGCTCGTCGGGAGGCCCAAGAGGCCTCTAGGGAGGGCCCAAGAGACTAGTCGGGGGGGACCAAGAGGCTTCTCGGAAAGGCCCAAGACGCCTGTCAGGAGGCCCAAGAGGCCAGTCGGGAGGGCCCCAGAGGCCAGTCGTGAGGCCGAAGGGGCCTGTCGGAATGTCCACGAAGTCTTTCGACAGGCCCAGGAAGCGCACCACTGCAGTTCTGAGCACCAAAGCTGCGAATATTGAGCTTCCGGGGATTGAGCCCTTCTGCCGGGGATTGAGCCCTTCAGCTGGGAATTACCTTTTTCTCCCCCTGGGGGGCTTGCCTTCGACTCAACTACGACGTTGCTGCTTCATTTCGCTTTGGCTGGCGCGCTTGAGGAGCAATGCCCAGGGAAATGGGGGGAGCGGCGACGGCGACGACGAAGACGACGACGACGACCACGACGACGACGAACGGAATATCGTCTTCCACACGCCGACAAGGCCGGTGGACTATTTTTATTGTTATTGCTATTGTTGTTGATATTGTTAGTATTCGCATTACTATCATCATCATTCTCATTAGTATTATACGTATCATTCTTATTCTTGTTAAGATTATTTGTCGTATTTGCGTTGGTAGTATCATTATAAATACTCGTATTATCCATATTATAATCCCTATTGTTCTCATTGTATTCATTACTGTTATTATAAAGTGCTACTACTACTGCTATTGTCATCGGTATCCGTATCATTTTGATTATCTGTTGTGTTCTTTTTTGGTTATCACCACCATTATCAGCATCACCACCCGTCATCATCAATATGAACCATCACCATCGTAATCATTATCATCATCACCAACACCGTCACCATCATGCATATCCCTATCTCCATTCCCGTCACAACCACCATCAGCATCATTGCCATCGACATCGCCATGCCACCATCATCATCACCATCAGCATCATCATCATCATCGTCACCATCATCGTCATCATCATCGTTTCCATTACCATTGTCATCACAGCCACCACCGTCACCATCATCCTCATTATCATCCTCATCATCATTCTTATCCTCCTCCTCCTCCTCTTCATCATCACCATAGCCATCATCATCATACCATCACCATCACCATCACCATCACCACCATCATGATCATCCTGGTAACCAGGACCACAATCATCATCACCACCACCATCATCTCCACAGCAACCATCACCATCATCTTTCCTACCCCCTCCGCTCCTCCTACTTCTCGTCCTGAGTCCCCCCCCCGTGAGCAGAGGTCGACGAGACCGAGCACATCACTTACGGCAGGATGGCCGAGAGGGTGGCTCTGCTGGCCTCGAAGCTGCAGGCAATGGGGAGCGAGGAAGAGGAGGAGGCGGAGGAGGGGGAGGTGGATGGGGTGAGGACGAGGAGGACGAAAAAGAGGATTACGATGCTGATGATAATGATGATGATGATGGTGATGATGATGATGATGGTGATGATGATGATGGTGATGATGATGATGATGAGGATGAGGATGATGACGATGATGCTGATGATGATGCTGCTGATGATGATGGTGATTCCGATGATGATGATGATTATGATGATCATGATTTGTGATGATGATGAGGATGATGATGATGCTGCTGCTGATGATCGTGATGAAATGGTTGTTGTTGTGGTAGTGATGATGATGGTGATGATGATATGATGATGCTGCTGCTGCTGATGATGATGATGATGATGGTGGTAGGTGGTGGTGGTGAGGGTGATCATGATGATGCTGCTGCTGACGATGATGATGATTGTGGTGGTGATGGTGGTGATGCTGCTGCTGCTGACGATGATGGTGATCATGATGGTAATGATGATGATACTGCTGCTGACGATGATTATGACGGTTGTGGTGGTGATGATGATGATGATGATGTTCTTGCTTCTGCTGCTGCTGATGATGATGATGATGCTGATGGTGGCGGTGGTGGTGATGCTGAACGTGACGATGACATGGATGATGATGCTGCTGCTGATGATCGTGATGAAATGGTTGTTGTTGTGGTAGTGATGATGATGGTTATGAT